CACCCAGAGCTGGCCACTGCCCCACAGCCACCTTTCCACCACCCTCCCAGAGCCTGCTCTTGGGAAGAGGTTTCCAGTGGTGTTGAGAGATGGGTGCTTCAGACCCAGCAGCACCTTTTGCTAGCTTTGTGATTTTTACACAGTCCACACCTGTCTCCCCTCCAAAGCTCCTGGGCCAGTGCTCTGAGGTAGCACTGAGCACTGCTGCTGCTACAGGTGCATCTCACCTGCACTGTGTGTCTGGCTATGGCACTGGCCTTCTCCAGGGAAGAGCACTGAGGTACCCAGAGATTTCATCTGGATGTGGGCATTCTGATCCCCCCAAAAGCTCTCCAGCATGACATTAGAGAGCAAATACTTTTGAAAACCAGGTGAGCTTTTGCAGGCAAACCTAGCACATGACATCCGTTGTTGCCTGCCCAGGAGGAGACTAGTTCCAGCCCATCACTCTCGTTCCTCTGAAAATACTCATCAAGGAACAGCAGCTCCTGTGCTCATGTGGGCACACTGCCTGTCTTGACAGCATGACCCACCCCAGGCCAGCCAGAGCCATTGCTCAGGAGACTAGAGGCTGGACTGAGTCTGTATCTACCTGGGCTGAGGTATGAGGTATGCCTGAAAGCTGCTCCACAGCTCCGTGCCAGAATCCTGGCTATTGGAGAGGACGGAGCAGATAGGCCCAAAGGCCAGCATGAGAAATGAGGGTGAATGTGCTGAGGACCCCCACCCCAGGTCATGTTGCCCCTGTAGCCAGCTGCACCCTAGAACTGGGTTTCACCACGAGTTGCTAGAATGGCTACAGTTAGAAAGACAGGCCACACCGAGTGTTGGCAGGGCTGTGTGCCACACTGCCAACACAAGGGTACAGTAACACAGCCACTTTGCAAGAGTGTTGGAAGCTCCTTAAAAAGTTCAGCACATACCCACCATGGGATGCAGCTGTTCTGTGTGAGGTGTCTACCATGGGGAATGAAAGCACCTCTCCCATGAACATTTGCAGAACCCTTATTCCTCATAACCCTGAACTGGAAACATTCCAAATGAAAACAAATTGTGGTTTATTCATACAATGGAACTCTACTTAATGATTAAAAGAAATGTCCTCCGTCATGAAGAAGGATGAGTTAAGGCCTCTTGCAACATGGAACTGGAGACCATTATCCTGAATGAAATATCTAGTGAATGGAAAATGGCCCCCAGATGGACTCACTGCCCAAGTGGAGCTAACCATGAGCATGGATATGCACAGAGGGGAACTCAATGGGTATCAGGGGCGCGGCAGATATAGTGAGCACCATCTGGGTGCTGGGCACACTTACAGCCCTGACTTAAACATGTGACCAGAAACATTTGTGCTCCCATGATATTTTGAGATATTTGATTTTTAAAAAAAAAATTTTAACACAGGCTCGGCGCCTGTGGCTAAGTGGTTAAGGCACCAGCCACATACACCTGAGGGTTCAAATCCACCCCAGGCCTGCCAAGCAACAATGATGGCTGCAGCCGGGCATTGTGGCAGGTGCCTGTAGTCCTAGCTACTTGGGAGGCGGAGATAGGAGAATCGCTGGAGCCCAGGAATTGGAGGTTGCTGTGAGCTGTGATGCCACAGCACTCTACCCAGGGGGACAGCTTGAGTCTCTGTCTCCAAAAAAAAAAAAGTTAACACAAAGCGATTTTAAAAAATGAACTATTGATACACTCAGAAGCATGGATACATGTTCAGAAAATATTGAATAAAAGCAGCCAGACAAAAAGGAATAAATACCATGTGATTACATTTATATAAACTTCTAGAAATCCTGGAATAGGCAAACTGTTTGGGGAAGTGGTAGGTGGAGCAGGAGGAGGACCACAGGGGACAGATGTGTGGACACTGGTGTGTACTTCTGTTAGCGGTGCTCAGGATCAGGTGCACACCTGTGATGTGTGGCAGTCCAGACCCATCTTGTGGTAGACTTCAGTGTCAGCTTATTCAACAGTGGTACCTTTGAAAGGCTATGAAACGTGTCATACGTGAGGACCAAGTGCTGGTTAGTCCATGCTGGGCCACTGAGTCCGTCCTTGCAGGGGTCTGTGCCTCAAGGCATTTACACTGGACAGAGCTTCGGAGGACCCCTCAGACCTGCCACATACACTGCCCTGTCCTCTCAGCGTCTTTCATCCAGTCACTTTGATCTCGTTTGTTTAGCGGCCATCCCCAAGTGAGTGCCAGGACTGTGCTCTGCCTGGGAACACGGCTCCAAGACACTGTGTTCTGGAAATGGGGGTGGTTATTCACAGAGATGCCCTGTGAGCAGGTGCTATGGCCTGAGAAAGCTGCACAGTGAGAAGGTGCTTCGCCACTGGTGGTGGGGCTTTCAGCTCAGGCCTGTGGGACAGAGGTGCAGGATAGGGCTAAGCCTGGAATAGGAACCTATGGAAAGGCTTGGAGGAGGGTGGGGTCTGTGCTGCTGGTGAGGATGTCGCTGGCCCTGGTGAGAGCAGGGGTTTGGGATGGGAGAGGCTGCGGTAAGTGGCTAGGACTTGTCAATGGCCAGGCGGGATGGGCAGTGGCTGTGTTAGTCTCATCTCTCATGTGTAGGTGTCTGTTAGAATCTGCTTCCCTGAGAGTCTAGGGTGTGGAGTGTATCCTGGGCCGGGTCACATCAGGGGAACAGTGTCTACACACAGTGGCACATAAACCCTTGCCTAAACATGCTCCCTGTGGGGAGGGGTTGGGCCCCAGGCACCCCAGGGGTGACCAGGCCTGTTTCTCCTCTTCCACCCATTAAACAAAAATGTTTTAAATCCCTACCCTGAAGATAATAGAGCAAGGGGCCTCAGAAGAGAGATCTGCCAATTTCTAGAATAGCAGGTACGGGAGGGGTTTGCGCAGGGTGAGCTCTTTGTGCTGAGAATTATCCTCCCAATTTGGCCTTGGATGCCTGTCATCAAAGAATGGGGAAGCCACTCAGACCCCAGGTCCCCTCAACTCACAAGCTGTGAAAAGGCATTGGATGGTCCGTGTAACAGTGGCCGCTGAAGTGGGGGCAGCTGGCTGAGCTGGGGGGGTGGGGTTCCCAAGTCCAGCTAGCAAGTCACAGTGACCCTACCTCTCCCCAGAGCTGCCCCTTATTCCTGCCACTGTGCTGTGCCCACTGGACCATGTGATTGATGGCTGCTGACAGCCGGCACCCTTGGCGGGAGCTGACCCACTTTCTATTTCCTGGGCTGGAAATGTTTATGTAATAGACAGCTACAGGGCACTGCTGTCCCCTGGCAGAGAGGAGATGCTTCCCGTTGGAAAGAAAGCACAGGGCCTGGACTGGCGATGCAACCGGCCTGCTGGTGCTGGCTCACCAGCCATAGGAGACAGAGGCTTTGCTGGACGTGTGGCAGGGTCTGTCTAGGTGCCTTGCTGTTTGCTTGGGGCCACACCAAGCATTTGCACTGGGAGTCCTCCTGACCCTCCTGAGTTCTTAGGGTCAAATGTCCTGAAATAAGCATGGGAGCTGTGTGTCAGCAGAACTATCTGCTCAATGGATGGTCTCTGTGCAAGCAGATGCCATGTGAGGCTATTTGTTTAGTGCCCAGAGTGTGGCCAGTGGATTCCTCTTTTCCATGTAAATAGTCACACGTGGGCAGTGAGTACAGAGACCATTACTTACTATGTGATGATGGTGTTTAAAACTGTTTTTGCTATGTAAGACCCTTCTAAAGTGCTTTGTTAAAAATCATTGTTATTTACAAAGTGTCTGTCACTTTATTACAAATAGTAACAAGAACTAACAATTTGAGCTTGTTGAAGTTTCCTGTAAACATATTCTTTAAAATACGGGTGTCTAGAAGTGCTTATCATACCAGCACATCTGCAGCTATCGTTTTGTGCAGCAGCAAGCCTGAGTGTGAGCTTTGTGCAGGTTTTTCCTTATACATATCATATACATAGCTGGATTCTGTTCTGTTTCAGTGCTCTATATTCTCTTTGGGCATGTTTTATAGCTATTAAATATTTTGATGAGGAAAAACTTTTGTTTGCCCCAATTTTTCTTTTTCTTGTTCTTTTTTGTTGTTGTTGTTGTTGTTGCAGTTTTTGACCGGGGCTGGACTTGCTCTGTGCACCCACACTGCCTCCACCTCCATCCTCTTAGCTCTACAGTGAGCTCAGCTCCTGCAAGGACACCTGTTTTTCCTTGCACTCTGCCACAGTGGAGTGACCTGTCCTCTGTATCCATCCATGAGGAAATACCTGGCCCCCCAGAGCACAGGGGTTACAGGAGGGCCCTTTGTGTTCAGATGCCTCACATAGGATCTGCAGAGCACAGTACATAGGCTGGGCCACTGAGACCTCTAGCACTAGGTCACCAGTTCACTTTCCGATGGGAGCTTGGTTTCGCTGCCTGTCTTGTTCTTTGTAACTCATACAATGAAGCCTGAGTTTTGCCCCATTGTCTTAGTCACCTCTCCAAATGAGTGTCCTCAGAAGTAGTCCAACCAGTGCCGTGTATCTGGAAAGGTGTTTTCTGACTGCTTCATGCCAGGACCCTCCACTGTCCAGTGTCAGAGAGTGGGCTTGGCGGACATTCCTGCTCTGGGTGGAAGGACTCAGTGCCTGCATGTGCCTGGCTGCCTCAAGGCTCTGCTTTAGGAGTCTGCTCACTGATGTGAGAGGAAGTGGGAGGATGAGCTCCCATGAGAAGTGGCTTGGGCCTCCTGGGGGAGCTCCTCTCTCTAGCCCCACACTCCCTGGGAGGCACTCCTATGGCCCTCTCTGCATGTGTGGAACTCAGGTGGGGCTGGAGGGGCCTGTGGCCAGGCAGTCCTGTGGGTTTTCCCTAGGGCCCGGCCAGGTGAGGTGTGGTTTGCATGCGGCAGGATCCCACTCCATGAGGAGGAGCCCAAGGGCCTTGCAGCCCAGCTCACTCTGCTATGCCTGGACCGTGGAGATTGTTCTGCTCACAGCAGCTGTGCCTTCTCTCTCCAGGTGACCCCTTCTGGGCCCCATCTGTCTTTCCTCACAGCGCCCTCAGCACCTCAGGCCGTCACTTCCAGCTGCATTTTGGGAGAACAATGGAGTCCAAGGTCTCAGAAGGTGGCCTGAATGTGACCCTGACCATCCGCCTGCTGATGCATGGCAAGGTACAGGAAGTGAGGTGGCCCCTACTCCTGGGAACACGGAGACAGTCGAGGGCTGTCCTCAGTGGGGCCTCTGCACTGTGTCACTTTTACATGACAATGTACAGAAAGCAAGGCAGTCAGCCTACTCCTGGGAGCATGGGGACAGTCAAGGGCTGTCCTCACTGGGGCTTCTGGTCTGTGTCACTTTTATTTTAAGCAATTTTAAATTTACAAAGCAGTTACAAGTACAATCCCAGTTACGTTTTGCCCAGAACCATTTGAGACTAAGTTACGGACCTGCTACCCTTTGCTGGATGCCCCCATGCACATCTTCCACAAACACGGGCTCCTGCTCAGCCTCATGCAGCCACCATTGTCAGGGTCACCATGAATGCATCTCCACACCTGGCCCTGGGCCCCTGCTCAGGTCCCTTAGCCCCCCAGATGTTGCCCTGGATGACAAGATGCCCTGGGCAGAGCCATGGGCAGCATTCCCTGGTCCCCAATCTGGGATTATCCCACAGGTGACACTCTCTGAGAGTTTCTGCTCAGTGTTTTTGTGGCACATCCTTTGCTCTGGCACTGTCTGAAGTCTCCTTGCCATGGTAAGAGTGTCACCATGGCCTCCTATCCCAGTGGTGCCAGGGTCTGCCACTTGGTGGGGAGCCCAGCAGGCTCCACCCGGAGCTGCCTCCCCTACTCTCTGAATTCTAGGTTGGGAGGCTGTGTCCATGTCCCATGTGTCCTCAGACCCCCAGCCCAGCCATTCACTCACACCTTCCTGAATGCAGCTGCTATTTTGTTCAGGTCACTCTCTAGGCTGCCAGAATTTCTCCTGATGCCTACCCTGCCCTGACTGGTGGGCTCCTGAATGTTTCTGGGAGGCCCATCACACTCTTGCCTTCTTATGACATGCTGCCCAGGGCCATTCTGCCCTCCCTCTGTCCCAGTTCTGGCATTAGTTAGGGTTCTCCAAAGAACCCTAACTCCTGTGAGCAGAGGACAGCATTTATAATGGAAGATGAGGGCACTGGGAATGTCTGAGCTTCTGGCTATGTGAGTCTGAGGCAGCTCTGGATGCCATGTCCATGCCATACACATTCACATAACATTTCTTTCCATGTTCATCTGTGTTGAACCCTGTGAGCTTGCACCTCCACTCCCAGCCACATCCCAAGGTTGGACCTAGCCCCTCCTCTGTGGGTTTGTGCCATGAGCAATCTGATATCCTTGTCTGTGTGTGGTCTCCCACCAGCCCTGGTGCATCCTGCACTTCAAGACATGGCCACCTGGGTAGCTGTGCTCCCTCACAGTACCCTCATTTCTTGATAGAAAAAGGCCCCGCCCCTCCCCACCATGAGTGCCAGAAACTGGTGGGCCTCACAGATGGGACAATCTGTGAGAACAGGTACAGGGTCCCCAGCTCTGGTAGCACCACCAGCCAGGCCACCCCAGACACTTTCTGGAGTCCCCATCTCATGCCCACTGTCCATTTGTACCCACAGCTTTCCTATATACATCCTCCCATGGCTGTGACAGAAACTAGGACTTTCACCAGGGCCATTGTAATGGCTCAAGACTCATCTATAAGAAGGAAACGAGTCAGATTTGAAAGATTTCATTCCCTGCACTAGAGCCAGGCCAGCCTGGCCTCAAGTGATTGCCATGGTGACACCTGTGATTGGTCTCAGCCCACTTGGCCCCTCAGCCAGATAGGAGTATCCCCAAATTGCCTGGGGCTCGACTGTGCAGCTTTGGCAGCATGTTTTGTTGTTTCTTTCAATAAGATGCCCTGGATGGAGCCATGGGCAGCATTCCTTAGTCCCCAATCTGGGATCATCCCACAGGTGACACTCTCTGAGTGTTTCTGCTCAATGTTTTTGTTGGTACATCCTTCACTCTGGCACTGTCAAGTCACCTTGCCATGGCAGGAGTGTCATCATGGCCTCCTCCTATCCCAATGGTGCCAGGGTCTGCCACTTGGCGGGGGGTCCTCTTAAAATTAAGTCATGCAGCAGAAAAGTTGCTCAAGTTTCTTTAAATCACAAATTTGGGGACTTTCATTCATTCCTTGCAGGGTTTCCTGGAGGCCTTAGGTACATGAGTGATGTCTCTGGAACTGTCTGTGGAGAGCAGCTGGTCACTGTCCTCTGGACAGTTTTCTGGGAAGTTAGCACTGCAGAAACCTGAGGCTCAGGGCCTCTGTGTAGACGGCCTGACTTGTGGGCTCCCTTGGTGGTTCTGGACCCCTCCCGCTCATGCTGGGAAGATGGATGGGTTTCCTCAGTATCTGTGCTGGTTCTTGTCCTCCTTCTGCTCTGTGACCTCATGTTTTTGTGGTGTTTTCTTGCAGGAAGTTGGAAGCATCATTGGGAAGGTAATTGTTGAAGGAGCCTTCTGCCTCCTACGGGGTCTGTGAGGGCGTGGTGAGCAGTGGTGCCCTGCGCTGCATTCCATGAAGTCAGGACCCAGTACTGCCACACAACATTGTTGGGGCTCTTCTTGCCTTTGCACTGCCCTCATGGAAGCTGGTCCCTGGCCCTGTGGGAGCCAAGAAGGTGGCATCCTCCCTGGGCTGGGCCATGCCAGGGCACCTCCCCACCCACTGCCTTGGTGATCAGGCCTTCTCCTGGGCTTTTTGTTTTGTGTTGTTTTGTTTTGTTTTTTTATTAAATCATAGCTGTGTTCATTGATACAGTCATGGGGTACAGTATCCTGTTTTTATATACAATTTGAAATATTTTCATCAATCTGGTTAACATAGCCTTCATGTCATTTTCTTAGTTACCGTGTTAAGACACTTATATTCTATTCTACATTTAGAAAGATTCACATGTACCCTTATAAGATGAACCATAGGCATGGTCCCACCAATCAGGACCAAGTTACCTGTGTCTTTGCTGGCTCTATGACTGAGCAGCCCTATGAGTGGTGGTGGAGGGCTCTGTGTTTAATGGAATAAGGTCCAATTTGGATGCCAGTGCTCATAGGGAAGGAGGCCAAAAGGGAGGTGCCACCTTCCTGTCCTGTTGTGCTCTGCCCATCCCTAGGGTCCCCTGAACCCCTGTCCCTACCACCCTGTACTGTGAGCAGGGGCTCCAATGGCTCTGTCCTGGCCCCATCTCACGAATCAGGTCAGGCCCTGCTGGCCATGCGCCCAGGATGAGCACTCACCTTCCTGCACCTCAGTGTCCAGGGGGTGGAGGGATACATGGAGTCAGCCTGGTTAGTGGGGAGGCAAGTTCGCTCACCCACAGGTCAGAGGCCGCACAGGCACACAACAGGTAGACCCCAACACTGCAGGGGCCACACTAATCCCCTGCCATCAGTGCAGCCCCAGTGACACCTTTTCCTTGTTGTTTAATCTTTATTCTAGAAAGGAGAGACCGTGAAGAAGATGCGTGAAGAGGTGAGTGTGGCCTGCCTCACTGATGCTATGTAGCTGTGGCCACTCTGCATGTAGCCCTCCTGCCCCCACAGGTGTGGTGGGTCTCAACATAGGGTGAGCTGTGCCACTTCACTCCAGTGCTACACACCCAACAATTCTGGCCTCCTGTGGCTGCCTCTGTAGGGAAGGGATCACTTAGACTTTTTTTGCCAATTAAAATTTTACTATAAGAGAGATCAATGAAAAGAATTTTACTGTCTAATGGTGAGGTTTGCCAGTCAGGGCAAGATGCATGTGGTTGCATTGACCATGGTCAGCAGAGTATCCAGGCCTCTGGCCAGTAGCTTCAATATGGTTGCTGGGGTTTGTTTGCTCTTGCTCTAGAGTGGCGCAAGGATCAACATCTCAGAGGGAAACTGCCCAGAGAGAATCGTGACCATCACGGGCCCAACAGATGCCATCTTCAAGGCCTTTGCGATGATTGCATACAAGTTTGAGGAGGTAAGGTGCCTGCTGAATTCCTCTGCCCTGAATCAGCCCTGCTCCCTCCTCTGCCTTACCTTGCCCCTCCCTTCTTTGGCAGCCATTCCCAATAAGTGCATAGAGAAGCCACCTCATTTCTATTCCTCAGACCCTGCCCAGCACACCTAGCTCAGACCCAGAGCACCCCACACCTCCCACCAGGGCTCACAGAGACCCTCAGGTAGTGGGCCCTAGGCAGCACCCCTACCTCCTGAGTCCAGCCAGCTCTGCCACACAACCCCCCATGGAGCCCTGGCTAGTATACCCCTGGTCCTCTGCTGTATACCCCCATAGCCACTGAACTCCCAGGACAGTGTATGTAGCTTGGCTTAGACACAGACAGGTACAAGTGGAGATGTGACGTGCCTGTCCCTGTGCTGGTGGTTGCATGTACAAGATGTGTGTGTGTAGCACTTTTGGGTACCTCTGTCAATAAGCTACATTTTAACACTTTTATGTGTTTCCAATTTTTTAAAGTTACTAGAAGCTATTTAAAGATGCATTTAGTGGCTTTAAGGCATAACCATGAAATAATGAGGTGACATGTGGGAGTAAGCACAACCCCTCCAGATGGGAGTGCTCAGAGGCTCTGCTGAGAGTGGCCTGTGGGGCCAGCCCCTCACCATGTCTGGCAGAGACTCCCAGGTAGGCAGGGTGGGGAGAGGTTTGGTGTGCCCTTAGGGAGGCCATAGGCGTGGGGATGTGTCCCTGTGACTGGGTGGGGGCATGCTGGGCTCTGCCTGGCCTGATGGAGAAGTGAAGCAAAAATGTCAGGGAGGCTGCAGTCACTGTAGGAGTCCTGGCTGCCCTGCAGCTGCATAGATAGCTTCCCGGCTGGTGGCCACAGAGATTAGGGTCAGTGTCCTTTTGTCATAGGTGACCTGGCCTCTGTCTGTTAGTGTGTTCAGTTTCTCAGTCCCCTTCTAGTCATCCTCTCACTTACAAGAGGCTGGGCCATTCAAGAAAGGTCAGTGATGTAGGTTCTCACCACTCAGGCTGTTCACTTAATCTCCATGGTCCGCTGTACCGTGAAAGCTTCTCGACATTTTGTGGCTGTGTCATTGTGGCCATAATCTGGGGAGAGGGAGTGGGCCCAGGATGCACTTAGGACTGTGGGTAAACAGCAGTGAGTGACATCACGACTGGTCCCTGTCAGGTGCTCGGAGCCCAAAGCTCCCTCTGTGCAACCTAGGCCAAGAGAATAAACCTCACAAGCCATGAGGGTCAGCCTTAGAGACCCCATAGCCTACTGTGGAGGGTGGCAGATGGTCTCAGGTGGGAAACACGTGCAGTGGCCCGGATGCCACCTGACTAGATGACAGGAAGCTCAGGAGTGCACAGTTGTCCCTTAGCTTGTACCACTGAGCTGAGGCTGGCTGTCTTCTGTCTTGGGCCAGATAGTGCCACAGCCAGTGGTGTATCCCTCACAATGTTCTCTGTTTGTGTGATCCCATGGACACTGCCTGGTATTCTGAGAAAGGATGACTTAGCAACAACTCCTATGGCACCAAGTAGCCAGGGTAGCCTCATTCAGGATCATGAGTTTGAGTCAGGCTTTGTAGCCATGAAGATGCATGGAGTGGGTCTGTGCACAGAGGTCTCTGCATGCCTCTCCGAACATCTGAGAGTTAGTGTGAGGGAAGCAGGAGGGACCTGGCCCCAAAGGAAGCAGCATCTAGTGGAGGCACAGGGAGAGTTGCTATGTCACAGAGCCTCAAGGCTCTATCTGCAGGGTAATAATTTGGATCTATATTCATCTCCATGGCCTATTACTCTATGAAGCTTATTGAATTTTAATGTAGAATGACTCGGGCTCTGATCAATATACTGTACTAAGGGGCTCTTTTTCTGGAGGAAAGGTGTGACAGAGTCTCAGATTGGTCTGTGTTGGATGCACTGTCCATGTAGGTGCAAACGGAAATACCATTGTGTCTGAGTATACCTCCTCATTTGATGAAACCAGGATTGCCCAGAGGTTTTTGTCCTGGAGGTCAGGCAGTGGGTGGTGTGTGCAGGATGGGTGAGAGTGAGAGCAGTGGCTGCTGTTTGGAGTGACCTAATAATGGCACTAGAATGAGCATGCTATGGCCTAACAGTGACCACAATGTGACGGGAAAAACGTTGGGTGAGTGACAACCAGAGGTCTGTGGAAAATGAGAGGGAGAAAGATTACACACAGGCTGGTGACAAACAAAACAGGAACTAGACAGGGCCCTTGGTGACATCTCAGGCAGAAAGCTGTGCTCTCTCCAGGGTTGTCTGCTCCTGAAGGGTCTCTGAGACCCCAGTGTGAGGCCCTGTAGGATTACCTCTCTCACTGTGGGTTCTGAACTGCTCTTTAGCTGTGATACACGAGCCCAAGGACTGTGTCCCTGCACTGTCACACTGGCTATGTTCATAGTCCCTGGTTCTGTCCTTGCCAATGAGATTCAAGAGCAGCTTCTCTCTGACATCTCTTCCCACAGCCAGAATCTCCTGGTAGGGCTTAGTGAGTCCCTCACAGTGACATTTCTATCTCCTGTTACCAAGCCATAGGGTGTCCCCAAGGGATGGACTGTATGGCCATAGGACTGTCAGAGTACCTTTGGCCAAGGGACTCTGGAAGTCTTGATGTTTTAAGTTAGAGTGCCAGGGTCCTTTCGGTTTTCCAAAAGATGGTGGGGGTAAGGACAGCATAGTTCGAATGAGAGAACCAAATAGACAATTTCCCCACAGTGGTTCTCAGAGCATGTGCCTCAGTTGTCTGCTGTAAAGAAGGGTGGTAGCTTCAGATTGGAAATACAAAATCATGCAGTGTTTAGTAATGTTAAGGGCAATAGCTTGTGAGCAAGGAAATGCTTCAGTCCTCACTAAAAATAGGCGAGAACTGACACATGTCCAAGGCCCTGGGTGGAAGCTGGTGGAACCACTTGAAAGTTTCAGAGGCCATGGAGGCTCCTCTACAGGTTGGGTCTCACCTCAATGGTGTGCCCAGGATTACATTGTTCACAAGTGACAGACACATGGCCTGAAAATAACCTCAGCTGTTTTTGTGAAGCTTCCCACAAATGTTGATTTGAGATAATGACCAGTTTGTCAGATTGAGGTAGCTAATGTCTTCTTGAAATCATCTGCTGCTACCAGTCAGCTGTCTGGAGAACGCCAGGCACAGTCTAGGGATTTTTGCCATTCTCTCTTTCAAAGTCAGGAACTAAACAATGTTCTCTAATGGCCTCTGCCGCCAGGGAGCCAACCTTTGTGAGTAGATGGAGTCATGGCCTTGGCTACACAGCTTACTTGGCACAGTGACCTGCTGGCACTTCCTTTAACATCTTTGTCACCTCTTTCCTATAGTTGCCACCTCATAGTGATGGGGTTCTGGCAGAAGTGAGAAACTCCCATTGTTTCCAAAGCACCCCAAAGCCATGGACTGCCCCAGAGCACACCCGCCTTCTGTGTACTGCCCGGCCTTCAACTAGTTGATGGGTGTTAGTGAGTGTTGTACTTTCTGCCACCTGGCTGATGCTATTTCGTGTGGAGGACTCTGTCTTAAAGAAGAGCCCAAGTTAGTTACAGTGCAGACCTAGTCTGCTCCTGCTGCCCTGACAAAATACCAGGCCAGGTGGCTCATACCAGACGGCTCGCACCAGACATTGGTTCTCTCAGTCCTGGAGGCAGGAAGTCTCAAGACAGGTAGCATGGCTCTAGGAAGAGCTGACAGCAGAACTGGGCCTCAGCAAGCGTTCCAGTCAGGTATTGCCCAGCGTAGCCACTGAAGGCCCAGAGCATCCTCGGTGGAGTTCTGCCCTCTAGAAAGACAGGCATGAGAATTAGGATTGTCACGAGGTACATTCAGGAAGGAGAAGCTCTTCCTGGGAGAGGTTAGGATGTGGACAGAAGACGCTGGAGAGCCAGCAACAGTGCATGGGGACGCAGTGTGCACTTGGTCTTAGGATCTCGAATGGGGGCTGCCTTTCAACACAGCCACTGTCCACCTGCTTGCAGATGAGCAGCCTGAGAGACCACTCTCTCTGGACCACAGTCAAGCTCTTAGCACAAAAAACTGAAACAGAGGCAAGCTTCATCCAGCTTTACTGATCATGGCCAAGTTGGTCCAGATGGATACTATCCTGTAAGCCCAGACAAAAGCTCACAATGTGCCCAGAATTCTCTCATGAAAAGTGATGGCCCACAGGCAATACAACATAACACAGAGTGACAGAAAAAAAAAGCAAAGAGGATGAGGAATGGCCTGATTGCACCAACACCACCAAGCAAATGGGCCCCAGTAACACAGTAGGCACCAAACTGAGATGACACCACAGAGCCCAGCACAGAGGGCAGAGTCCCGCCTGAGCCAGCACATCCTCATGGGCATGGGGAGCTGCAGCAGTGAGGCTGAGCAGCAGCAGCAGCAGCATGCAGACATCAGGGTGGACCCCCACGACAGGTGTACAGAGGACTGGCCGCCCACGGGAGCAGACAGGGCTGTTCACTCAGAAGGACTGGGCAGGCTCCACGTGGAGCCCAGAAGAAGGCCTTGGGCTCACTGGGAGTGGGCATCCATTGGGGTCAATATGAGGGGCACATTTGGTCCTCGCTGTTCGGGCCTGGGTTGAAAGTAAGGACAAACACTTGGGAAGCTGTCAGCACTGGCCCAGTACTGCCATGCCTTGGTATGGCTTCCCATGCTGCTGGCTGCTGGTGGGGCTGGAGTGCTCTTCTGTGTGACCTGGCTGTTGGCTGTTTGCATGTCCTCATGTCTTATCTTTCAGTGTTCTGTCCCCAAGGCTCACTGCCTCCAGGCAGTGTGACCCAGCCCCTTGGCTATTGTCAGTCACCCCTGTGCAACACATATTACCCAGCACTGTGAGTCACCAAAGCCTTCCTGGGTGTCCACATACTGCAAGGATGTGGGGTCTCATCTCTGGGCATGTCCTTATCTCTCAGCCTGCTCTTGAAGTCCCGTGGGGCCCCTGCTACCCCCAGCCCTCCCCTGGCCCACAGCCTCCAGGGACACGTCCCCAGCCCCCCACACCTCCTGAGCACATCACTCAGGGCTGAGCTGATGTGCTGCTTCCTGTGATTGCCATGTTGCTCCCACAAGGAGGACGGTTTTTGGTGGGGAGTAATGGTGTTATCTCGACTGTGACATGGAAATGGTTATGCACAGAGGGCAGTGCTGGCTGCCCTTGGTGCACTGGAGCGTCCCTGCTCACATGGAGCCCAGTCCACTCTCTATCACAGGCTCTGGACCACCATACACCTGCACACACAAAACTGAGTCCCGGAAGCCAGCTCTGTGTGAAGAGTGACAGAGCCAGGAGCGGACACACCCTGCCCTGCCCTCTCTGCCCTGCTCTCCCCTGCCCTGCCCTCTCTGCCTTGCCCTAGCAGACATCACCATGCTGAGCAAATGACACAACTCCCACCTCAGGATGGTCACCAGGAGCCATTTTCTAATCACCTGCCCCTTCACACCCTGAAATCATGTCCAATCCACCACAACTCTACTCAGCTGGCCCTGGGGGCAGACTAAATCCCCAAATTACCCCCTGTGTTCTCTTCCTCTCCCCTTGACCCAGTATGCAGACCTCCTATGTGTAGCCTGTCTGCATGACTTCAGCCAGCTAGGTCTACAGAACCAGTGAGCCCAGGAGCTGGCTGATCACTCTGCCTGCAGCCTTTCAATAACTTACCTCATGGCCATCAGGAAAACATCCCATGGTCTGTGTGATCATGACAACCTGTCCAGGGCATCATCCTCTATACACATAAAGGGCCCTAGGGCTTGAGGCTGACAGACCCTGGGCAGAGAACAAAGACTCAGGCTCTGGGCACTCTGGGGTGGGGTAGTCTTGGCAGGGGACAGTGGCAATGCACCTTATGCCACCCAAGTGCTTTTTCATTTCAGTTCTTTGCTGGCTGAGTGTGGTCCATCAGCCTACAGTTGTGTCTGTCTCTCCTCCTAGGACATTGTCAACTCCATGAGCAACAGCCCTGCCACCAGCAAGCCCCCAGTAACGCTGAGGCTGGTGGTGCCTGCAAGCCAGTGTGGGTCCCTGATCGGCAAAGGCGGCTCCAAGATCAAGGAGATCAGGGAGGTAAGAGGATCTTACCAGTGTTGGGAGACCCTCAATGCTGCCTGCAGCATTAGCACTGATCCCTGCAGACCTCTGCACCCTGTACCCAGGGTAGGGGCCATCCTTTTAGGGCCTGGGCCACGTGTGTGTGTGTGGGGGGGGGTGTCTCTGCTTTCACAGACCACTGTTGCCTTCTATTCACAGAGTGGACTCCTGGGAGGTAGCTGTGTTGGGGCCTCAGTCACGGACTTGTATTCCAGAGGCCATCCCCACCTGGGCTCTGGTTTCTGCTCCTGGCATAGAGCTCCCTGGGCTCTGTGGGTCCATCATAGCTGGACAGCTTCTGGAGGCCTCATAGACTTTCTGTTCACATGTTCATCTTGTTTCACAGGAAGCCTGAGTCCCCCATAGCCAGGAGGGGAGCCCCAGTCACAGTTCTCTTCAGGACAGCCTCCTGCAGAGGATAAAACTCTGTGTGTTGGGGAGAGCACATCTCCCTGCAGATCCCTTCCTTGGCTTAGACACTCCTGTCCAGCATCACCCTAGGGTGCTATGCCCAGGGGCATGTGTAGGGCTAGGGTGTCTAGCCATGATGTGGCAGGCTTGGCATGGGGAAGGTAGACTCTCAGACCTGACCAGTTAAGCTGGTGATGAAAGTTCTCCCAGGGGCCATGGACATACCCTTGAGAATTGGCTATACATATGCCAGGCCCTTCCAACGTCATGTTTTTCTAGTCCACAGGTGCCCAGGTCCAGGTGGCTGGGGACATGCTGCCCAACTCCACAGAGAGGGCAGTGACCATCTCAGGGACCCCAGATGCCATCATCCAGTGTGTCAAGCAGATCTGTGTGGTCATGCTAGAGGTACAGTCTGTGCGGTCCTGGCATGCTTAGCACCATGTGGCTTTCTCAAAGTATCAGCAAAGGCGTGAGGACCTCAGTTGTCCTAAGGATATGTGGTGTGGGCTATGTGGGGACTGGCATCAGGAGCCTGGTGTTTAAGGCAGCAGGAACAAGAGCCATGACAGTGTGTGGGGAGGGCTGGCCTCTGGCAGCTGCCTTTGGGCCATAAATGCCAACTTGGAGGGTCCAATGCCCTCACTGGGGAGCCCAAGGAGAGAGCTATAGAAAGGAGAAAGCCTCTACCCTCATTTTTGAAATTGGATAAGAAGTTATTAATCACCATTGAGAGGTGTTTTTGGAAAGAATTGGACACTGATAACTAGTGCCCATCCGTGGTGGAGAGAAGTCCTGTTGGTAGTGAGGGGTGGGTGCTGTGTGGGATGAGGCCCCGCCGCTGTGTCCTACAGGAAGGTGGGCAAGAGGCTCCTGCCCCGCACCTGAGTCTGCTGAGAGCAGCACCACCCCACTGGAGAGGCACAAAGGCTAGAACTTAAGAAGAATGTACAAAAATGCCCCAAATGTAAAAATCGAGATGAGTGATCAAAGGGATTGAAACAGAGAAGCAAAGAAGCTACAGGTGAGCAGGAAAAGCCTCTCTTGAAATTTTTTAGAGTGAGGGAATTAAAAAAAACTGATATTTGAATTTCTATCAATATCCCAAATTCATGAAGCTATTGTTAGTTGCTGGTCTTTTCTGAAGCAAAAATGCAGTAATCCTGCCTCAGACGGAAGGTTCCAGCAGCTCTACCTGTGCCCAGCCCCCAGCTCCTGAGGCCGCTGTTGGCTTATTCCTCCCCTGCACTTGACTTAGTTTTCAAACCCCCTTTTTAACTCTTAAAATTTTTTGCTTTTGTTTTCCTGAAGTATGATATTTTGTAAAGTCAAAAATATTTTTCAGAACTACCTTGTTCTGAAATCTTCCCTACACTCCAGTCGGGGAGACAGAGGGATGCTGGCCCAGGGTCTCTGTTTCTCTGCCCACTATGCTAACGTGAGTGGGCAGGGCAGGCCAATGATTTTCTGCTCAGTGGCATAATGATCCAGCCAGTTCTACAAGGGACACAGCCTGCTGCATCCCTGAGCAAGGGGTGAGGCAACTCCTAGAAACTAGCATGTGGCCTCCTCAGAGTTGCTAAGTTGGGCTATTGTCCCCGCAGAGCAGGCCCACCCTGCTGGCTGTGGGACATCAGCTCCCCAGGGCGGTCATCAGACCTGCTTTGCCTCACTCCACCGCAGTGAGGCTGGCATGAGGCAATGAGCATGCTCACAGCCCTCAGAGATCAGGAGAGAGGTCTTTCTTACCAGGGCTGGGAGAGTCATCACACCTGGAAGTAGTTGGGTCCATTTTTAAATGAAGAATTAACTGGAAAAATTAAGTAAAAGATGCTTTAAAAATGTTCCCGTGCTGATCAGAAGATGTTGGAGATAGGTTAGTGGGATGTGCCTCAGCCTCACCCCATGATATTAAGGAAGAAAGAGATGCCCTATGGTGCGGACAAGTCACAAGCGTCACCACAGACGGCTGCCCTGGCTGGCTCAGCGCCTGCTCTCCAGACCAAGCTCCCCATTCAGCCCTAGGGAGAAGGCAGGGGCCAGGCCCCACCCAGGGCACACTGAGGGGAACAGGAGCCAGGTACACAGAGTCAGCTCATGGGCCAAGTCGGGCTCCAGGACCTACAGAGCAGGGACCAGACAGCTGGGCACAACTGGTGTGATGACAGCTCATGTCCATGACAGCCCTGAGCCTGTCTGAGAAGCCTCTGGGGAACCGTGTGCCCAGAGACATGTGGGAGGCAGGTGATCGTGCCTATAGGCATCCTGGCACAGGCTGCTCAAATGCCACGGGCTCTGGTGAAGGGCCGCTTCTCAGGATATTAATCCTAAGTTGTAGGCATAGAATAATCAAGGGAAGTGGCAGCAGGTCTCATAATGACTATGGAGCATTTCCTTTGGAATGTAAGCTTTTTTAAAAGTGGCTTTTTCTTTTTTTTTCTTTTTTTTTGAGACGGAGCCTCAAGCTATCCCCCTGGGTAGGGTGCCATGGCATCACAGCTCACAGCAACCTCCAACTCCTGGGCTCAAGCGAGTCTCCTGCCTCCGCCTCCCAAGTAGCTGGGACTA